TGAGGGCTTCCACCATTTTAAATGAGTCAACTGGGTGGGGATTCCTATGAGTTGAGAGCAATCAGCCAATGAACAAGACGACTAAAATGTACTATTTTAAAATGGAGACAACACCCTGTCATTCACTGCAACCATCAAAGCAGTGACTCGCTCCTGCAGGTTCACCCTACCTCACACAGGAAGCGGTGCAGTTCTAAATACAGGCACTTGTCATCTTCCGTCTAACTACTGCATTTCTCTGTTGACTGGACTCCCCACTTGTACCATCAAACCCCTGCAACTTATCCAGAACGCCGCAGCCCTCCTGGTGTTCAACCTTCCTTTGTTCAATCATGTCACCCCGCTCCTCTGCACACTCCACTGACTTCCAGTCGAAGCTTGCATCATCTTCAAGACCCTGGTGCTTGCCTACGGAGCAGCAAGGGGAACTGCCCCTCCTTACCTTCAGGCTATGCTCAAACCCTACATCCCAACCCGAGCACTCCGTTTCACCACCTCTGGTCTCTTGGCCCTCCCACCCCTATGGGAGGGCAGCTACCGCTCAGCCCAGTCAAAGCTCTTCTCTGCCATTAGGGAGACAGCCTATCAGACTGCAAGGTGGGCACCACCGACACAGGGCCAGATGGCTCTCTTTGTCTTCTCAGCAGCTCAAGGTCTGCATCCCAAATGGCACCTAAAAAGGCACCTTATATAGTGCCTTACTTTTGATCAGAACCCTATGGGAATAGGGTTGCATTTGGGATGCGCATCCATGTATCACCTCAGAGGCACTCCTCTAACGAAGACATGCATGCCCCTTAACGAGATAGAACCCCTTAACGAGCCCTAGCTCCTAACGAGCTCCTAGCGCTAACGAGGTAGAGATGGAGCGTGGACATGTGGTCTGCCCCCTGACTGCTTATTAAGACTCTGTCGCCTCAGAATTGATCTGTTAGGTTCCGTGAGGACGAGATGCTCGGTTGGAGGAGAGGTAAGACATTTAGGGAGAGCAGAAGGGAAGAAATGTAGGACGAGGGGAAAAACTACTGAAGAGAGAGAGAGAGAGAGAGAGAGAGAGAGAGAGAGAGAGAGATAGAGAGAGAGAGAGAGAGAGAGAGAGAGAGAGAGATAGATAGAGAGCGAGAGAGAGTGTGGGCAGAGAAGGCTCGCTCGCGCTTGTATGGCTCTGGCTCTCCGCTCTCTCTCTCTCGCGCGCTCTCTCGAGCGCTCCATTCCTCTCCTCTCTCTCTCTCTGCTCTCTCGCTCTCTGCCTTACGCGCGTCTCTCGCAGCTCTCTCTCGCGCGCTTCGCTCTCTTGTTTCCCCGCGCTGTAAACGTTAGAGAGGAAAAGAGACAAGGAGGAAAGAGAGTGGACTGTATTCCTTGGTGGCTTCTGATATCACAATGCTTTTTTGGGGTCAGCATTCCCATTAAGCACCCAATGTAATATTTAGCAGAACATAACAGAGAAAGGGAACATGGAAACACCTCCCTTTACCAGCGTGTTCCAGCATGTATGACTACTGAATATCTTCTATTTGCTCTATATAATATTATAATAATATCATATACAGTGGGGAAAAAAAGTATTTAGTCAGCCACCAATTGTGCAAGTTCTCCCACTTAAAAAGATGAGAGAGGCCTGTAATTTTCATCATAGGTACATGTCAACTATGACAGACAAAATGAGAACATTTTTTCCAGAAAATCACATTGTAGGATTTTTTATGAATTTATTTGCAAATTATGGTGGAAAATAAGTATTTGGTCAATAACAAAAGTTTCTCAATACTTTGTTATATACCCTTTGTTGGCAATGACACAGGTCAAACGTTTTCTGTAAGTCTTCACAAGGTTTTCACACACTGTTGCTGGTATTTTGGCCCATTCCTCCATGCAGATCTCCTCTAGAGCAGTGATGTTTTGGGGCTGTCCCTGGGCAACACGGACTTTCAACTCCCTCCAAAGATTTTCTACGGGGTTGAGATCTGGAGACTGGCTAGGCCACTCCAGGACCTTGAAATGCTTCTTACGAAGCCACTCCTTCGTTGCCCGGGCGGTGTGTTTGGGATCATTGTCATGCTGAAAGACCCAGCCACGTTTCATCTTCAATGCCCTTGCTGATGGAAGGAGGTTTTCACTCAAAATCTCACGATACATGGCCCCATTCATTCTTTCCTTTACACGGATCAGTCGTCCTGGTCCCTTTGCAGAAAAACAGCCCCAAAGCATGATGTTTCCACCCCCATGCTTCACAGTAGGTATGGTGTTCTTTGGATGCAACTCAGCATTCTTTGTCCTCCAAACATGACGAGTTGAGTTTTTACCAAAAAGTTCTATTTTGGTTTCATCTGACCATATGACATGTGGTCCTCTGTAGCTCAGCTGGTAGAGCACGGCGCTTGTAACGCCAAGGTAGTGGGTTCGATCCCCGGGACCACCCATACACAAAAAAAAAATGTATGCACGCATGACTGTAAGTCGCTTTGGATAAAAGCGTCTGCTAAATGGCATATTATATTATTATTATTATTATATTATCCCAATCCTCTTCTGGATCATCCAAATGCACTCTAGCAAACTTCAGACGGGCCTGGACATGTACTGCCTTAAGCAGGGGGACATGTCTGCACTGCAGGATTTGAGTCCCTGGCGGCGTAGTGTGTTACTGATGGTAGGCTTTGTTACTTTGGTCCCAGCTCTTTGCAGGTCATTCACTAGGTCCCCCCATGTGGTTCTGGGATTATTGCTCACCGTTCTTGTGATCATTTTGACCCCACGGGGTGAGATCTTGCATGGAGCCCCAGATCGAGGGAGATTATCAGTGGTCTTGTATGTCTTCCATTTCCTAATAATTGCTCCCACAGTTGATTTCTTCAAACCAAGCTGCTTACCTATTGCAGATTCAGTCTTCCCAGCCTGGTGCAGGTCTACAATTTTGTTTCTGGTGTCCTTTGACAGCTCTTTGGTCTTGGCCATAGTGGAGTTTGGAGTGTGACTGTTTGAGGTTGTGGACAGGTGTCTTTTATACTGATAACAAGTTCAAACAGGTGCCATTAATACAGGTAACGAGTGGAGGACAGAGGAGCCTCTAAAAGAAGAAGTTACAGGTTTGTGAGAGCCAGAAATATTGCTTGTTTGTAGGTGACCAAATACTTATTTTCCACCATAATTTGCAAATAAATTCATAAAAAATCCTACAATGTGATTTGCTGGATTTTTTTTTCTCAATTTGTCTGTCATAGTTGACGTGTACCTATGATGAAAATTACAGGCCTCTCTCATCTTTTAAGTGGGAGAACTTGCACAATTGGTGGCTGACTAAATACTTTTTTCCCCACTGTATCATACAGTATTATTGCGAAGCATCTTTTGAAACTACAGAGAACCATTAGATCTTGAATAGTCTGATCCTGATATGACAGAAACGTCTCTCTCTCTCTTTTGATTGTGCAGCATAAGTATACCATATGTGTTCAGCGAAAGATTTTGCAACCAATTTAGAACCCTTACTTTAGGTTCTGCAAACATATCTGCAAACAGAATTGTCTTGGCACCCCCTCTGAGGTATGACAGTGATGTGTACGGAGTGTTGGGATGGATTGGGAACTGAACTTAGAACTTACGGGTTCTGCAAACAGAAGTCTCCTAGCCTCCTAAACTCCTAGCAGAATATATCCTCCCAACCCCCTGAGGTATGTCAGTAAAGGGTATGGAGTGTTGAGTACTGGGTTTCATCCAAAATGGCACTCTATTCCATTGATAGTACACTCTGGTCATGCATTATATAGGGAATAGGGTTCCATTTTGGGACGCATCCCTGGAACTGGTCGTGGAAATTCAGCTGGCAGAGCTGCATGAAACATGGGGTAAATCCCACACAGAGGAGAAGGGGCTCTGGTGGGGTGCAGTGGGGGGATACTTCAGGATTTTGGCATTGAGGCCCATTATCTACTTACCCAGAGTCAGATATATTTCTGGATACCATTTGTATGTTATCCAGAAGTTAGAGGTAGTTTTGCGAGCCAATGCTACCTTGAGTTAGCACAGAGACTGAAAGTCTATGGGTATCTACTAGCATGCAACAGTCACTTAGAGATGATTAAAATAAAGACAAAGTGTGTCTGTAGAGCAAGGGCCTGTGCAGTACTCCTTGTGTGTACCTAGTGATGTACTGTACACTCCACATTCCCTTCCTTGAGAATAGTGCACAGTGTTTGATGTGATGCCCACTCCCTAACCTGAGCGTAGTGCACAGCGTTTGATGTGATGCCCACTCCCTAACCTGAGCGTAGCGCACAGCGTTTGATGTGATGCCCACTCCCTAACCTGAGCGTAGTGCACAGCGTTTGATGTGATGCCCACTCCCTAACCTGAGCGTAGTGCACAGCGTTTGATGTGATGCCCACTCCCTAACCTGAGCGTAGTGCACAGTGTTTGATGTGATGCCCACTCCCTAACCTGAGCGTAGTGCACAGCGTTTGATGTGATGCCCACTCCCTAACCTGAGCGTAGTGCACAGCGTTTGATGTGATGCCCACTCCCTAACCTGAGCGTAGTGCACAGCGTTTGATGTGATGCCCACTCCCTAACCTGAGCGTAGTGCACAGTGTTTGATGTGATGCCCACTCCCTAACCTGAGCGTAGTGCACAGCGTTTGATGTGATGCCCACTCCCTAACCTGAGCGTAGTGCACAGTGTTTGATGTGATGCCCACTCCCTAACCTGAGCGTAGTGCACAGTGTTTGATGTGATGCCCACTCCCTAACCTGAGCGTAGTGCACAGCGTTTGATGTGATGCCCACTCCCTAACCTGAGCGTAGTGCACAGTGTTTGATGTGATGCCCACTCCCTAACCTGAGCGTAGTGCACAGCGTTTGATGTGATGCCCACTCCCTAACCTGAGCGTAGTGCACAGTGTTTGATGTGATGCCCACTCCCTAACCTGAGCGTAGTGCACAGTGTTTGATGTGATGCCCACTCCTCTACACTGAGAATAAGCACAGCGTGTTGGTCTTTACCTCTTTCAGGCAACCCATAAAGTTGTTGCTAACAGGTGATCCAGGCAGGTCAGCCGTGCTAGGACTCCCGCCAACATAGAAAAAGTCGTCGGAGCCTAGCATGGTGTAGTCTTCTTGAGTATACCCTGTGGTGGTCAGTATCCCATCCACGGATATAGTTACCTAGACAACAAAGCACAGGGAAAGGACACGCTATACTCAGATAGCCTATCAGAGCTCTCAGTCCAGCGGCTTTCTGCCTCTGATATATAGTCTCTGAGTCTGTGATAGTATCGTTTTTCCTCTATAGATTTTTGGTAAAGATTGTAGAAACCCATTTTCATGTCTGTTTTTTCTTTTTTTCTTGTTTCTTGTTTATTTTGTCCAGTTTAGGATTAGTAGTTTGAGATGTAGACTGCTAGCCCCCCAAGGAAATGATAAAGCTAGTTAGATAGGAAGTTAGTTAGTTGCCCCAGACTAAGTGTGTTAGTAAGTTAGCCCCTACTGCAACTCAAAAGTAATTTCAGCAGACACAAAAATGGTGTTAGTAGAATGTTATCTAGGTTAGTTTCACTAGGGTTACATATTAGTAAAAGTTAATAAGCAGTTTGTTTTCTAATAAAAAGAAAAGAAAAGAACAGCGTGCAAGTGGGTCAGATATAGAAAGCAACAAGCAAGTAGAAGCCACAACCACAGGTTTAGCGTTTGATTAATAATGCGCAGAAATTAGTTTTTTCAGAAAGACAAAAGTTAGGTGTTTTTGTCTTTTCTTTTTGTATGCAAGCACGCAAAAAGAAATGTTCCCCAAGATGGTGTTAATTAATAGGTTAAGGAAAAAAAAAATTGGTCCGACACTTTGCGCTTGTGTTGGATGTATGCAAAAGCGCATGATTGGTGGATCGTGCAAAAAAAATTAAATAAAAGCACCAATGACAACGACAGCTGGACTGGACGAGTGGTCGGGAAGTGTGAGCATGTGCAGCGTACAGCGCAGCATTCAGAATGCATGCCATGCAGAGTGAATGGGAAATAGAACACTGGCTGAGCCAATGAGCATCAGGCCAGCCAGGCAGGAGACAGACATTGGTCCTCCTTTGTTAACCACTGCTTGATGCAAAAGGCTCGAAACGATGCTCCTAAAAATGTGATTGGACAGGAGACAGGAAGTAAAAATAACAGGAAGTGGTGAAAACCAACCAACGGATGAAAATATAGTCAAAATAAAAAGGTAAAAACGTAAGCAGAAAGAGTACCAACCGCCGTTCCCCTTGTTTTGTTAATGACGTCTACAGTAAGAAAATATAGAAAAGAAACACACGGCAAACCCAAACTAAGAAACAATTAGAATGATATCTACCGAACAATGTAGTTTGTTTACCATAGCGTGTCCAATGCCTGAGTGCTTTGTGGAAAAGGGGGGAGAAAGGAAATTAAAAACTGTGAACAGAATAACGATAGTTACTCAAAAAAGAGATGATGGTTAACTACCAAAAGTTAGTACATTGCTGAGTTTGTTGTTGTTGTTGTTAATAAACATTAAAAAAAGAGATTGGTTAGTAGTATGACACATTCCATGAATGACGTTAGTTGTTGTTTTTCAAAGCATGTTAGTAACATAGAATAAAAAAGGGCAAAATAAGTAATTTTTACAAGATAAAAAGCAGACTAAGAAAGACTAGCGAAAATGCCTCCACAAGTGGAAGTGAGCTAGCCAGCGTTGGATCGATTGGTGACTCCCTAGACCGGACTCGTAGACCGGACTGCCTGGGTAGGCATCAACAACCCCAACCCCCCACCCCTCTGACTTGGTATGATTGACAGACATCAAATGGTTCATAAGAGAGAATGCCTAAAGCGCATCAGTCGACCCTCTTTAACGAAAGTCTTTCAGATCTTTGGGTTCATTTTATACATTCTTTCATTATTAGGACCAGTTTAGGACCATGTTCATGATTTTCAAGACCAGTTTTGGACCAAGATTCGGACCGATCCCATCCGTTGGGACGTCGGTGGTCAGGAACTCATCTTACATTACTTTACCTCCATTTTGGTCTTATTGATGGACTTTAGGATCACTTTACTGCAATGAGACAAAGCAAAGACCCTGACACAGAATGAGAAGGAGAATGGAGATTGGATTCCCCCGTTGAGCATGCACTTTCATTATGCATTCTTAATGTTTTCACAATTAAATTACATTTTAACATTACTCAAATCATCTCAATATTTATATATATATATATTATTATTTTTATTTTTTTTACTTTTTGTCGGTGTGGCGTTTCAAAACAAACAATCCCCTACTATCCGAGCAGGAACACATCTAGAGAGAGCTAGTGTGTTGGTAGAATGCCGTACGAGAGAACTTCAATAAAAGCCAGTATATTCTATACTTCCACCTATATGTCATAAAGCAAATTGTGTAGCTTGTAAACTATGTTGGTTTTATTTTTCTTAATTTTGCATTTTTTCAATTTTTAGGGTGTAACAGTTGTAATCTTTCCAAGCTTTATTGTAACAATATCTTAGTGTGCATTGTATTTTCAGTTAAATGAGCATGTGTTGAGCAGCCAAAGACCCAGAGGTCACCAACGAGAAGGCTGATCCTCTAAAAGTAAATACATTATGTTCATTGTGGTCACAACTACAGTATAGAGGGCAAAGCTGTCAAGGAATGGATGACTAAGAGATCAGCAACTCTCTACAAAGTGACACTCGGTAAGAGCTATGTTGTTTTTCACATGATTTTTCCGCTATTGACGCCTCTGATATTCCATGATATTATCTTTGAAAAACTATCACTGGTCTAGATATGTCCCTGCTCAAATGCAGCACCACCTTCTTCATGTCTTACTACAGATCAAATCATTATTACGATCAATCCAAATACTTATTCCAAAATGGTTCAAATTAATTTGGCTAATCTAAATTTGTTTACTAATAATTCTCCATCGCAGTCACCCATTTTACTGTTACCTGACGTAGATTCCTTGTAACTTTGACATCATGCCAATCATTGTCATTGAATTTCCCATTGACAGGCTCCACCAGAGCTTCAAAGGCCCCAGACCCCAAATTAATGACCAGCGATACAGCTCCGTTTTTCAGGGCCAGGTTGACGTAGTCTGCAGACTTCCCAGTGTGAAGCATCAGACCATTCCTCTGTAATGTCTTGAAGGACAGGGTGATCTCGTCGCTGCTGCTCTGGATCGGGTTCAAGGACAAGTCATAGCAGAAGAACTCGGATCCCTTGAAGGTCGCCACGTAGTCTTCTTTTCCTATAAGAGGACACAAATATAAAGAGAGGGAGGGATTGAGTTTTACATAGAGGACGGGAGGAAAGAAGAGCAACTCCTACATTCCCTATAGCTTGCTTAGCTATCCACCTAGCTGTTCAGAAAGTAAAGGCAGATTTCAAAAAGGTTAGGTTATAACAGTTCACATTCAGTTTGGACTTGACTTGGGGTGATAAGATGGGATGACATGGACATTTACAAAGACTGTTCTGCTAAGGGCTGGCTGTACCGTACAATACTTACCTGTGTACCATTATATTGGTCCTCCAATGGGCTGCATTACTGATACTTGCATAAAACCTTGTGACCTGGTACTCATGGTGCCCCAAAAATCAACAGGAAGCCTTGTCTCAAATCCTTATCTGTATCTCAGGTAGTAGGTGCCAGGTAGTGTGGACAAGGACGTGTACAAAGTTTAAGTTCACAAGCTCAGTTGGTAGAGCATGGCGCTTGCAACGCCATGGTTGTGAGTTCGATTCTCACGGGGGGCCAACATGAAAAATGTATGCACTCACTAACTGTAAGTCGCTAAATGACTAAAATGTAAAATTTTTTAATGTTTTATTAATTTGCTGGAATTGTTTTACATTCCTCAAACTCAAACATGATTAAATCAATCTGAAGGCAAGGATTCTGTTACCAGAACCACTGGTTTGGTTTATGCTTCACACATTGAAGAGCAAACCCTTCTATTGATATATCATAATACAATACAAATATGCTCCAATGATACATCATAGTACAACGCAAATATGCACCATTGCTGATCAAATGAAAAACCTGAAAAACTCATAATGCCATTCGCAAAAAAGCCTTGATTGTTTACGTTATCTGGCTCTATTGTGTTTGTGAATGTAAATGAAGTAATTGTATAATGGAGGAGTGTGTTTTCAGGGTATTACATTGTATTTATCCAGTCTTCTCTCTATTCATTAGTCTGAGTACAACAAGTGCATGCAGAGAGAGAGAGAGAGAGAGAGAGAGAGAGAGAGAGAGAGAGAGAGAGAGAGAGAGAGAGAGAGAGAGAGAGAGAGAGAGAGAGAGACTAATTACGATTATTACAGAATGGGATGGGAGAGGGAGGGAGAAAGAGAGACAGAGAGAGAAAAAGAGAGGGGGATAGAGAGAGACAGAGAGAGAGATTTCTGTTCTGTGTCGGATTCACCAAAGCTCCATAAAATCAGTCCAATTAATTTAGCTGCTACTCATTTTCAAGCCAATAAACCCATTTGAAAGCTGACGGTTCACAGTTCTGTTTTAGCCATAAAAGATGACATTCTCAGAGACAAGAGATGAGCTAGTGAAGATCCATGGAACAACAGAGTAAAAAAACTAAAAGACACCCCCATCCTTAGAGGACCTCAGAAAGAACCTTAGTTGTTGCCAAAGTGTCAGCTAATGGGGATCCAAATAAAGTATAGTGCTCAACTCTTTGAGGGGGCAGTATTGGGGATAGCTAGCGTCAGGCAGGGAAGGGACAATGGTAGGTCAACAATTAGCCAAGCCATTTAGGAAGTGATCTGGGACCAGATAACAAGCTATTAATATCACCATCCGACAATAAAACCACCACAGCACAAATGGACCACAAGATTAAATTAACCATAAATGCAATAAATGCAAAACACTACAGGTTTGTACACACATTACACACATAAACTGTATATACAAAAGTATGTGGACACCCCTTCAAATTAGTGGATTCGGTTATTTCAGCCACACCCGTTGTTGACAGGTGTATAAAATCAAGCACACAGCCATGCAATCTCCATAGACAAACATTGGCAGTAGAATGGCCTTACTGAAGAGCTCAGTGACTTTAAATGTGGCACCGTCATAGGATGCCACCTTTCCAACAAGTCAGTTAGTCAAATGTCTTCCCTGCTAGAGCTTCCCCGGTCAACTGTAAGTGATGTTCTTGTGAAGTGGAAACATCTAGGAGCAACAACGGCTCAGCCACGAAGTGGTAGGCCACACAAGCTCACAGAACGGGACCGCTGAGTGCTGAAGCGCATTGCGCATAAAAATCTTCTATCCTCGGTTGCAACACTCACTACCGAGTTCCAAACTGCCTCTGGAAGCAACGTCAGCACAAGAACTGTTCGTTGGGAGCTTCATGAAATGGGTTTCCTTGGACGAGCAGCCGCACAAAAGCCTAAGTTCATGCGCAATTCCAAGCATCAGCTGGAGTGGTGTAAAGCTCGCCACCATTGGAGTCTGGAGCAGTGGAAATGCATTATGTGGAGTGATTAATCACGCTTCACCATCTGGCAGTCTGAAGTATAAATCCGTGTTTGGCAGATGCCAGGAGAACGCTACCTGCCCAAATGCATAGTGCCTACTGTAAAGTTTGGTGGAGGAGTAATAATGGTATGGGGCTGGTTTTCATGGTTTGGGCTAGGCCCCTTAGTTCCAGTGAAGGGAAATCTTAACGCTACAGCATACAATGACATTCTAGGTGATTATGTGCTTCCAACTTTGTGGCAACAGTTTGGGGAAGGCCCTTTCCTGTTTCAGCATGACAATGCCCCCGTGCACAAAGTGAGGTCCCTACAGATGTGGTTTGTCGGGATCGGTGTGGAAGAACTTGACTGGCCTGCACAGAGGTCTGACTTCAACCCCACTGAACACCTTTGGGATGAATTGGAACTCCGACTGCGAGCCAGGCCTAATCGCCCAACATCAGTGCCCGACCTCACTAACGCTCTTGTGGCTAAATGGAAGCAAGTCCCCGCAGCAATGTTCCAACATCTAGTGGAAAGCCTTCCCAGAAGAGTGGATGTGATTATAGCAACAAAGGGGGGACCAACTCCATATTAATGTCTATGATTTTGGAATGAGATGTTCGACGACCAGTTGTCCACATACTTTTGGCCATGTAGTGTATATTGCACAGGTGCCCAAGCATGGATACATAGGCTACAGACAGACAGACAGACACACACACACACACACACCCTCACGCCCGCCCACTTGCCCACACACACGAAGTGGCCCAATGAAGAGGGTAGCTCTCTGGAGCAATTTGTCAACTCATCGATCCGTCTTTAAAGGTACTCTACTACTATACGGCACCTCTGAGAACTACAAGTGGCCGTAATTCAGCCTGACTGGATCACCTCTCCTCTGCTCTCTCTTTAAGCCTCTCTCTAGCCCTGAGCCTCCATCCTATGAGTGAATGACAGTTGTCCTCCCCACACCCACCTGCACGCTTGCACACACACACATTCACACACACACACACACACACACACACACACACACACACACACACACACACACACACACACACACACACACACACACACACACACACACACAGACGCACACACACACACATCCTTCTCCCCCTGTCATTCCTGGACAGCTTATCAACCCCATCACTCCATGACCATTCATCTCTCCCTCCCCCTCTCTCTCTCGCTCTCTCCTCATGCATTCCTCCGTCTCCTGCCTTTGGCTCAGATCTAACGATCAATACTGCTAAGCAGTGAGCTGTGATCTGAAGCACTGTGACTGTGTGTGTGTGTGTGTGTGTGTGTGTGTGTGTGTGTGTGTGTGTGTGTGTGTATGTGTGTGTGTGTGTGGGTGTGCATTGTGAGGCCTACGTGTTCAGAGTGAGGTACAGTAAGGAGACCAGTTGAGATCAAGCATTTGTACTCACGCGAGTGTACAGTATGTGTTAAACAATATTCCATACCCTGTGTGCCACTACATTGTTGCTGCAGATCGGTTTGTGGAAATACAACATCCTTCTTACAATCTTACTTCATTCTTTACAATAGAGTGACATTGGAGTTAAGATGGTTGACCGGAGAAGATCTTTCAACAGTTGAGTTCAAGGGAGAGTCAAACAAGCAATTTCTCTGAAACACAACACATTGTCATTTGGGAACCTCTACATTTACTGTCACACATCAAACTTCTCTGAAACACACCCATTGTCATTTGGGCACGTCTACATCTACTGTCACACAGCAAACTGCTCTGAAACCTAGCCCTGGTTATTTGGGCAACTACCTGTACAATACCCTGTGCTGCCCTCTCATCACCGTCACAGTCACACACCAAATAACGTTTATGTTGGCTGCTGCCTCCATCCACCCCCTCTACCCCGCCATCCATACTTTACCTACCCATCCCTCCATTGCTCCTTCCACCACTGTCCATTCCTCCTCCATCCATCCCTTCACCTCTCCACCCCTCTTTCTCTCCACCCTTCACCTCTCCACCCCTCCACTCTCCACCCTTCACCTCTCCACCCCTCCACTCTCCACCCCTCCACTCTCACCTTCCCTCTCCACCCCTCCACCCCTTCACTCTCCACCTTCCTCTCACCACCCCTTCACTCTCCACCCTTCACCTCTCCACCCCCACTCCCACCGCTTCACCTCTCCACCTTCACCTCCACCCCTTCCCTCTCCACCCTTCCACCTCTCCATCCCTCCACCCCTTCACTCTCCACCCTTCACTCTCCCCCCCCCCTCCACCGTCCCTCCACCCCTCCCTCCACCCTTCCTCCATCCCTCCACCCCCTTCACTCTCCACCCTTCACCTCTCCACCCCTCCACCCCTTCACTCTCCACCCTTCACCTCTCCACCCCTCCACCCCTTCACTCTCCACCCTTCACTCTCCCACCCCTCCACCTCCACCCTTCACCTCTTCATCACCCCTCCACGCCTTCACCTCCACCCCCCCTTCACCTCTCCACCCCTCCACTCTCCACCCCTCCACTCTCCACCCCTCCACTCTCCACCTCTCCACTCTCCACCTCTCCATTCTTCACCTCTCCCTGAGTCATGTAGCTGAATTGGAATAGGAAGTGTAAGAGTCAGCCCAGGAGGCTTACTCACCCCATCTTACTTGAGAATACAAGGTAAAAGTACAAGATATAAACAGATTGATAGCTACTGTCCAAAAGGAAAGCTTCAAAATAACAACACACAGTTAGAAGGCTTCAAAAAGTGTATGTTGTTGTTTTGAGTTAGCTGACTCAACGTCTTATTCTACATGATTATTTTATTTCAATACATGTTGTGTGGGTAATTTTTGGTTATCTACTCTATCTCACTTAGGGGCAGACAACATAAAAACCAACTATATGAATTATGCATGTTGTAGAATGGAATGCCTATATGCCTTCTATGCTTATGGATTAAGAACCAATTAAAGGGTTAAAACAGAGCAGATACAT